GTTTTTGTTTTAAGTTTTCTAAAGCCATTTAAGGATAAAGAATAGGTTTCCCTATTAATATGCATAAGCCTGCTGTTTATGAAAAGCAAATCCAGCAATTAAGCCTACAGTTGTTCAAAAACCTATGCACTACTGACTTCTGCAGTTTTAAAATAGAAGCATGCCTTGCATTCAAGTGAGACAGCTGGTCATTCTGATTTAGAGATCAGTTTAATGAAATAAAGTTGGCTCTAAATATCCAGAACTTACAAGGTACAGTGATTAGTTACAGTACTGATTAATGGATAATTATGCAATCATGTACATTGTTGGCCCAAGTCAAAGCCTGGAGCAACTGGTAATGATTAATGTTAAATGGAAATTGTAAATAGCGTTCAGTTGTTTACTTCAGTTATTAGGAATTTTTATAGAAGATTTAGAAAGATTCTTTGAATTTTTGGAAGAATTAAGTAAATTAAATAATTAGGAACAAATGTTTTAATATGTTACTCTGTAATTAAATATAGATTTATAAAACATTACATTCTTCACATAAATTACATTTTCTTATGTGTTAAAAATAATTAAAAAGCTCGGGCAAGAGATTAAGGTGTGTTTTTTTTCTTTTAGTTTGGTTTTTATGTAGTCTTGGAAGAGCTAAGAAATAACATTTCCTTTAATAAGGGTCCTCTTCTATAAGACACATATTCAGAACTCCAGTTGAAGTCAGTGGAAGTTCTTGTTGTGCAAAGAATCCAGGTTTGAGTTGTAATTTTATACCTCTTCATTTAACCAAGTATATTTTCTTCTCTCATATATGGGAGGACAAGCCAATACTCGCTGGCTTTATTTACTTCTCCATTACTTTTTCTGTTTTTACTGATATTGGCTTGTCTGGGTATTCCAAAAGGAAGACAGGAGACTATTGGTATGGGTTTATTCAGACTGAAACTTTATTATATAGATGTTTGGGACTATCCAGCAGAGAGTACAATGCAGACAAATCCATGTTTGTTCAAATCATTACTAGTGTTCCCTTTAAGATTTCCCAGCTGAGAGCAGAATTAATTTGTCTTGTGCACCAACATTGACATTATGTGTGCTTGTTTGGGTGTTCACCACCATGGCACCCACCAGTCTCTGTCCGTGTCTTTCTGTTATACAAGAAAAAATACCAAGCCAAGGAATAATTAACAAGGTGCATGACCCATCAGTGCAGGCATCAGGGATGCCGGGGGTGGAAGGTATGGCGTAGCTCAGGGGGTGCAGAATTCAGGGCAGGGGGAAATCTCATGATGGGGGTGCTGAGAAGTCAGGGAAGTGACAGCTCCTCGCTGTGGGAAGGCTGGAGCTGGGCTGCCTATTCTTGTGGGTGGTGGGCCCAGGACTGGGCTGCACGGTCCCTCAAGAAGCTGCTTCGCTGTGGGGGAAGCGGGGCTGGGCTGCCTGGATCCCACAACCGGTGAGTGAGGAGCAAGCTGGGGCTGCGCTGGCCAGCAGCTCCAGGGTAAGTGAGCCAGGGCTGCTGGCTGCCAACCTGGATGGTGCTGCAGCTGAGAGCCAGGGGGATAGATCTGGGGGGCATGCAACAGCTCCAGCCCTGGAGCTGCTGCTTCCACCTGCCATATGGTGGCTCCAGTCCTGGCCGGGGCTACCCAACCAGCCACTGCCCACAGCCATCCAACAAGCTTTCTGCCATGTGTCTGCTCTGCCACCCGACCAGCTGCCTCCTGCCACATAGTGGCTTTGGTCCCAGGTAGGGCCACCAAACCAGCCACCACTTGACACGTGGCTCCAGTCCTGGCCAGCTTGTGGCTCCCTGCCCACTGTGGCTGGAACTGGGGCCGGTTAAACTTCCCAAGCAGGTATAGCTTCACTGTGCAAAGCGTCAGCCAGAGCAAATGGGGGCGGAACACACTGCTACCGCCACTGCCACCACTCTCCTGCTGGACAGGAAGGTAAGTGAGTGGTTGTGAGTGCTGCTGTGCGGCTCTACAGGCAGGTTGGGTGGGCCTAAAAATTTGTGTGTGTGGCCATGCAGGCACACAGCTTAGAGGGAACCCTGCTGCACATCGCCCCACGCTTACAAAATAAGTTACTGCACATGACCTACCATCTTTTCTTCTTACCCCAAAGGTTCTCCCTGACAACTTCTGTGGGGAAGGTGAAAAAAATCTCACTCTGCCAAAGCCAGCTGCCCTTAAAAAGGAGTGACTAACATGATGCCCGTGTCAGGTCCTAACCTAACCTTTGATATTCACCTTCCTTATGGAAGGGAGGGTCTTGCTGCATGGAACAAAGGGGCTTCTTCCACCCAGAGTTTGTTCCTTTATACCTTTCTGACCTCACATTCCTGGGGGAGAGGAGTAGAGTCACACTGCAAAACTGCCCACCCTTCACCTCTTTGCAACAGTCTGACCTCATGCACTCCCTTTCCCCCTCCACCTCTGCAGCCATAAAGCAGAGCCATCTCCTTTAGCAAGCCCAGACAACCCCTGCCACAACTCCGAGAATGAAATTGCATGATTAATCAGAACTCCTTCTCCTGACTAATTTTACAACAGCAAAGCAAGAATATGACTGAGTCATGATTACATGAAAGTGATTTATTTCTGTTTAATTTCCTTTTCATTCCTCAGCAAATTACTACAATTTTAGATTAGGATAATTTTTTTAAACAGATTTTTAAAGCTTTGTAAAGGTATTAATTTAGATGCTGGCGTTTATAGAGATACAGATAGGCCCTCAGTAACCTAGGGAAATGTTAAGACCCATTTTCAGAAGTGATTTATACATCTGGAAACACAAGTCTCATTGGAAGTTAGACTAAAACTCTTAAGTGCCTAAGTAACTTTTGAAAATAGGTATTAGACTCCTCACTTCTTTGATATTACACTAGATAAGATTTTAGCCTTGTTTTCTCACCTGTGTCAGTCTGTTTCCCCCCAAAAATCTTCCTATATGCAGCTTTGTCATTTGTGTGTAATGCAAACATGTCAGTCTTCTGTGGACAGATCCTAATGAATTTAGTAGACATAACTGTTCTATACAGTTGCATAGGATGGTATTAAAGTTTATAAAAAGTATTTTTCTATTAAAGGCTTTGGGTATTTAGTTAATTGATACATAGCCCTGTGTAGTTTCTATAGAACTCTGCTGCTTATATCTCAGTACAAATTTTATCTGAAGGCATTCTCATAGAAAGTATACATGCAGGTAGAATAACATGTTAAACTAAATACAGAGTCATGGATTAATATTGAATGGTACTATATTACACCCTTGCCAGGTGTAACTCATTTTATGCTTTATCCTTTCTGATTTTATCCCTGCATTCCTGTACTATTCTTTGTATTTATCCTTAGCAATTTATTCATATTTTCACTCTTTGTAGGATTCTCTTTTATTTAATTAATGTATTTATTTACATGTCATTAAAGAGAACTCCTTGTGGAAGCATATTGGCCTCTTGCTAGTCTTGCTATCTTTCCTTATTATTAGGATAGTTTACTCATTGCTCTTGTGCCTTTAGTATTGTCGCTTTGGCCTGGTCTACATTAGAGTGGAAAGTCAACTTAAGATACACAATTCCAGAACTTAATTATGTAGCTGGAGTCATTGTATCTTAAATCACCCAGTATTTTAAAGAACCATTGACAGTACTGCAGCATAGAACCCAATAGATTAGAAATATTGGATGGCATCCTGGAATCAGTTTATTGAATACTTTGGAAGATGTCAGGTATAGACGTACCCATTGTTGTTCTGAAATAGCTATGATATCATTATTGAGGCAGACAAAAGGGAGGATTCATGTCTTTCCACACTTAGGAATCTGGTTAAATTAGTCAGTCCCTAGATATGTCTTCACAAGTTTCTGGAGATGCACTGGTAGTGATGTGCTTTAGGCCAGGTCTACAATAAAGGGAAAGGTTGAATTAAGATACACAACTCCAGCTATGTTAAGTTAATTCAAGTGTCCATGTGGTCTCCACAGCAGGAGACCAATAGGAGCAAACATACATAGGCTTCCTTTACTCCTTGAGAGGAGCAGGAGTACCAGTGCTGATGGATGCGCTCTCTGAGTTCAATTTACAGGGTCTTTATTAGACCCACTAAATCGAACTCCAGAAGATTGATCATGAGGTGGATCTTTCCCATAGTGAAGACATGGCCTTAGAAGGAGGAAAAATTTCTGATTACTGAAAGATGAGATGGAGCAAGTCTTAACCAATCCCTTCTAAGTAACTCTATTCTCTTACCTCATCCCACCTTCCCAGCGTGATCTGCCTTATTCTGTTCACAGATCTCCATTGATCAGCATGCTTTAAATTGTGTAGAGAGGCATTTTTGTGATCAGCAGCAGTAAAGTGGATTATATTAGGAAAATCAGCCTGAGAAGGTAGAGGAACCAACTGACAAAGAGCTGGTAGTATGGAAGAGCAGGGAGATGGGTGAGGAGATTGGATTGTTAGTCTCTCAGAAAGGAGAAGGTGGTTGGTAATTCTGATACCTGCAGGAGTATTTAGTACCTCCTCCATATTTAAGGTAAGGATGGTGGGTCTCCTGCTAGTGTGAACAGGAGTTAAAGTTGAGTCTTTACACCAATAGAGGACATTGAAATCTGTCTAGCTGACTTCTTTATAGGAAACAAGATATCCATACCTTAATTTTTTTTTTAAAAGGCATGACATGACTATTAGTGTGGCATTTTAAAAAGCTTACTGTGATGCCACACTGTTATATATAAATATGCACATTAGTGCATTTAAATCCACTCTCCTTTTCTAAGGAGATGTGTGGAAGTTTGTCTCTGGTAAAGTCAGAATGTATTTGTGGCATTTGCAATTTCCTGTTATGTGAAACGGAGAACTGCTCTTCTGCATTTTATGTTTACAGCATGTGTGCACCTTGTGTTTGGGTTGGCATATAAACTGTCTAGAGGGACATTTTTTGAAAGCTTTTATGCCTTATTTAAAAATTTAACACTAATTTTTTTCCATGAATGGTTATATTTACAGGAGAGTTTGACACAGTACAGAGCCCCACAACACCGATCAAAGATCTTGATGAGAGAACGTGTCGGAGTTCTGGGTCAAAGTCCCGGGGTAGAGGGCGGAAGAATAATCCATCACCCCCTCCGGACAGTGACTTGGAGGTATGCCCTATGGTAACTGATAAATGGTTACCTGAAGGTAGATTTGGCAAATTAAAGCTGCACAGACTTTTTAAAGCTTTTTTTTAAAAAAATGACCTAAACCATATATATAACTAATTGAAAGTACTAGATTCCTAATAATCACTTTACATTTATATAATATGGGGCATATTCAGGGTTTCCTTAAATACACTGAAAGTAAGGTAAACAGTGTCAATACACTATGTCCATGCATACTGCCTCTTCCAGTTTAATGTGAAATAGATGTACAAAACAATAAGAGTTTTCTTTTCATATTTTTTGATCAACTTTTATTTTGTGTATTGCTTGACTTTCTTTTTTGAAAAAAAATTCATATGTAGCCATCTAGTTATCTATATACTCAGTGTAAAAATGTGCATTACAAAAAGGAATGCATAAATGACACATCTGTGTTTGGCCCTAATCCTGAAAACATTTAAGGACGATTTTAACTTTTCCTCTGGTAAGTAGTATCATTGACTTCAATAGTTATGCACCACTATTTGAGAGAACAAGGCCTTAGCAAGGAAATATGTCTGTGCAATGAGCAAGATAATGTTTTAAAACAAGTGTCCTCCTAGTGGAGTGATTATATTCTTGTTACCTGTTTTAGCAATGTTCTGCCATACTGTAATAAAAGACCACCACTCATTGAATGCATGGTATGTTCCAGCACAGGGATCAGAATAATGTTCTGCACATTTGTGATGTGCCTCCTCCCACGGTGATACTGGCACTCAGTGCTAGTATCACTGGACTGCTCTACCCTCTGTGCTTATCTCTACCTATCATCAGGAGTTAGCTTTATCATCACTTGGCTGTACCTGTCCCTGCATCACTTTTATAACAGGGACAGGCCTGACTGTGGTGCTTAACATCAATATTGAATGCCATAGCTTTTTGTACAAAGGATGAGGAATTTTTTTCCACAAACTTATTTTTTTAAATTAAGCAGTTGTTCTTTTTACATTTGTGGAAAGAGTTCCATTTTCTTTTCCTTATTTTTATTTTCACTGATGAATTTCGGGGGGAGGGAGCCCTCTTCTTTCATCACTAAGAAATTTTCCTTAAAAACCAAAATAAAATAAAATTAAATTACAATATATTTTTTAAACTATTTAAATTTCCTTTTCTGCATGAATTACTGTGGCCTAATAGTATTTGTGGATGTAGAACTAGCACCAGGAGTTAATATTATCTTTATTGGAGAAACAAATTCCTTGAACTCAATATGAGTTGCATATAAGAATCTGATTGTAAAAATGTATCCTTAAATTAATGGCTATTTATAATGAAGTATACTGATAGAGAGACAAGGAGGATGAAATACTATCTTTTATTGGGTAATAAAGATTCTGTAGGGTTAAAACATTGTTAAAGGTTGTAGAGTAATTAAAATATTGGAAAGTAATTGAAAAACTTATTGTCCTGTGTATTTTTTATAGATTATTTTAAGGTACACTATCAGTGCTGATTTTCAGAATAAAGTAACTCACTTAAGGGCTTATTTAAAGAGAAGACATGACTGACCTGACTGATTTTATTATTTTGGATCATAACTCTTGTATCTTGATGACACACTAATTTTGCCACCTCTTCTATTTTCAGCGTGTATTTGTTTGGGATTTAGATGAAACCATCATTGTTTTTCATTCGCTGCTTACAGGATCCTATGCACAAAAATATGGCAAGGTATGTGTTTAATGAATTCAACAGTCAGTTCAGACTGTTGATACAATTGGCACTTTTACTATGTTTTTCATCTTCAGTATTCATTACAAAACGTAATTAATATTCATGTGCCCCTGAAAGATAGGGAGGTGAATAGTATTAACTCCATTTTACAGACTGGGAAACTGAGGTACACAGAGGTTGTAATTTGCCCAAATGGAGCAGCCAAGGAAACAGATGAGGCACCTGCTCTTAGGTAAGATGTGAGGCCCAACAGAGAGAGTGTTGTTGAGGTAGGTGCTAAGGAGGAGACCTCATTGAGGGAGAGCTTTGAAAAACTATTGCAAATGGATAATAGATTTGGTGGGAAAGGAGAAATAATTGATACATTTGGAATCAGGGCAAGGGAATGAATCAAGTGAACAATGGAAAAGAAAATGGAATTGATGAGTTTGCAGGGAAAGGGAAATCTTAAGTCAGAGTAAATGAGCGGGAGGCAGACCTGCCTAACTTCAACTCTAGGGTGGAGGCTCTAGGTTTTTGATGTGTTCTCCGACACATCAGCTTTCTTGCTGAGTCTTTGGTGTTCTTGGCTGTCTATTGGCATAGGCACAGCCATTGGCAGAAACACTCCCTGCTGCCAATCGGTTATTGCTTTTATTGTTCACAACTACTCCTTTCTTTGCCTCTCAGAAATCCAAAGGTGGCTGGAGAAGGAGCAGTAAGCAGTGAAAGGAGAAAAGGGGAGAAGCAACCATATGTAATAGCAAAAGGAATGAGCAAGGAACCCAACTCATCCTGGGTCTGAGGAACTAGTGGGAAAAGGGAAGGAGTCTGTGGGTATGAAGGATGGAGAAAATTGAGGAGCTTGAAGAAGGGAGAAAAAGAGGACTGAGAAGGGGGACCAATGGATTTACAGAAAGGATAGCATTGATGGACCATTGGGAGGTAGAAAAATGAAAGCAAATGAATGAATGAAGGATAGAAGATGGAAGAAGGCTGAAATGGGGAGGAGGCAAGATTAATGGAACTTTGTGATTCCACAGAGGAGTTACCGCTCTGTAACTTCAGAACATTCAAGAAGTAAATTTTATACAGATTTTCCACAGTGTTTTTTTTGCACTGACATTGGCAGGGCTGGTGGCAGAATGAATGCTGATGTTTTCAGTGCGGGAAGATAGACAAGTCTATGAATTGCAGGATGCTGTCGTTATTTAGTGTGTATAAGAAACAGTTGTGGAGCTGTGTGGGTGTGAGAGAGAGAGAGGAAGTGACAGGTCTGAAGCATGTTTCTGTTAATGAAAAAAGGAGTGACGAGAATTTGGTGTTTATATGCATGTGGAGGTGTTTGCAGGGCTGTGTGTATGGGTATGTGTGTTTGGAAACACAGGAAGTTGTTTCTCTTGGTGTATGAAAAGAGTGGGCCATCAGACTTTAGTACGAGCTGGTGAATTTCCATGACCATTTTGAAATGCATATATAAGATTAGTTAATTTGATTCTCGTACAAATAAGATTTGGCTTTACAGTGCCAAATCAGTTCTTGTTACTGTGTCACTTACATTATCATGTACCCCATGTGATGTTCTAATAATACAAACATATAATTCCCTTGACTTTGACAGTATTAATTCTTTTTTATATCTCTGTAAGAGATTAATCAGACCAAACACACAACTTGCATTGTTTATATCACCATTGAATGTGGACCACAGACCTCCAGGGGAATTATTATATTTGGCCCTAATGATTCAGTTACTTATAATTTTAATCCAAATGGGTCATTGTGACCTTTTGGATGGTATAACTGTACTGATGCAATATTTTCTCCATCTCTGATATTTAAAATTAAGAAATTATTCGTGCAAAACTTTTTAAATTGTAAAATATTAGAGAGCTATCAATCCTTTCTGGATAACTGAAAACTATTTTGGCAACAACTGTGCAGGGATATCTTTTTAGTTCTCTCCTCTTGGTTTTTCTTTTCCTTTCCCCTCCATATCTTAGGAACATTGTAGATCAGGGGTTGGCAATCTTCAGCACGTGGCCCATCAGAGTAATCCACTGGCAGGCCATGAGACATTTGTGTTTATACTGATCATCCTCGGGCGCAGCTCTCACAGTTTGCCATTCCTGTCCAGTGGGAGGTGTGGGGAGTAGCAGCCAGCACGTTCCTGCAGTCTGTAACACATCACTGCTTTGTAAAACTCAACTGGTCTTGCAATGTAGTCCCCACCAAAATCCAGAGTATGTGTTAATGGCTAGTTATAGCAACCAACTGTGACATCACAAGAGGTGTTGTGACAGTAAATACACTATAAAATATAGTGAGGCACATAGATATTATGGTAATAGTTGACATATGTACCTTAGATCTAGTTATACTTCTTTGCTTCAAAAAACATATTGGACATTGATTCTTTCTTGTGACCATGCTGCTCCGGTGGCACACAGTTGGTCTAAAGTGAGTTTAAGCAGCCAATAGAGAATTCCCTCATCTTAGGGAAATTCCCAGATGGCACAGAATCATAGCAGTGAGTCTTACACCTTCCTTTGCATTATCTCTTAGTCCTGCAGGTATCGCCACTTCCAGTCTGTGCCTATGATGACCGTCTTTAAGCTGTCAAGTAACTTTTCACAGTGTGTGCTTGATTCTCATCTCTTTGTAAATGTGGGGTTTTCTTAAAATATTTTGTTGTGTTTATTGAAAATTTTTTGTCTCAAAAGAGAAGATTAAATGAGACAGACGAGGGCCTCCTGATATGTTTTCCAAGATTTTTCTATAAAGCATATTTATAATGATGCTATTATAAATAGGGAGAGAGCAGTTTATGGTGAATGGAATGATCAAGTTACATTTTCAAGGTGTGAAATTCTGGAATTATACCAGTACTTAGATGGATCGTTTTCCAGGGTTTCACCTTTGTTCTATTAGTCTAACATTTATACAGGCACTCAATGTGAAGATGGATGCACACACGATAGTTATTTTCCATCTAAAACATACCTACTATCTCTTTTCCTTCTCTTTGCCTTATTTTTTTATGCTGTGACCTAGGAGGAACAAAAAAACTTTTAATAACTTTCTTTAGGTCTTAATCCTCTACTGTTATTATGGCTGTGAAAAGAAATGTAGCACAGAGTAGAGCCAATTTAGCTGAGTGTCACAGTCAGACTGGTTTTTATGCAAGGCCAGTGCACCGCCATGGAGAGACCAGCAGATTAAAAATTCTTCTTTTACATCTCACTCTCCTTTTTCGCAGGCAGTAGCATAAAGGAGAAGAGAATGGTGATCTTGGTTTCATTTTGGACTTGTATGTAATACCGAAATCTAGCACTGAAAGGGACCTCAGTAGGTTATCTAGTCCAGTCTCTGCATTGAGGCAGGTGTACTATAAATAATAATAGTATTAGCAAGCTGTGACAAATAGAATGCATATTTTTAATGTTATGAGCAAGATTATAAATGTCTCATTAAAATATATGTCAAATTGCTTCTTCATGGGAGAAAGCCCGTTGAAAAAATAACTTGAAATTAACCCCTGAAGTGAGAGAGACTTTGTATATCTGAGTTTGGTCAGTATAGAGCTACAAGATATTAATTAAAAAGCCAAAATTCACACTTAAGTGATTGTCTGATTCTTTTACTGTACTTTCCCTTATTATTTTATTTTATCAAAATATGTCTCTCTCAACATGTAAGGTAACTGTAAGGTTACTTTGCTCATCTCATTTGTTGATGCTCTTCATGCACCATAAAATTAGTACACTGCTATTTTTAATTATTTACTGCAGTAGCAAATTATGATCATTGGTATCTGAGCTGTTATGTTATGACTTGTGTGGCTGATGATGGTTTTTGCAGCTGAGCACCAGTTGGCACATATAGTTTTCTACAATGCTAAACTCTTAAATAAGGATTTGTTGATGTGACAGGCCATGTGTTAGAAGACTGTCATCATCTGTTACATTTTATGAGGTACATTCCTGTTCTCTTATGAGGTACATTCCTGTTCTCTTATTAACAATATGCATTCTTCCTTCTACTATGTTCCAGTGATTTCTCACTGTTTTTCAGATGATTAGGTTGTACTTAGGAGTTTGAGTGTTAGCATTTCCGACTTGGATCATTTTATTTCTTTAAGGTCAATTCAAAGGGCAAAGATGCTCCAAAAATACCGTAAGTCAAAGTTCAGGCTGGTAAAAAGAATAACTGCCTTTCATGGCACTCCAGAGGAAAAAAGTCTTCGTTCTCCAAACTTGAATATGTATTATACAGAATTCAGGATGATGTTTAGGCAGACGTACAAAATATGACAGTACAAGTCAACAGAAAAAAAAACCCTAGAGCATACTTTAAAAGAAAGTGGACAGAACCGACCAACTTTTTTTTATCAAGTAGATAAATACAGGCAGTCCCTGGGTTACGTACAAGATAGGGACTGTAGGTTTGTTCTTAAGTTGAATTTGTATGTAAGTCGGAACTGGTACATATTGTAGGGGAAACTCTAGCCAAACATTTCTCCAGAGCTCAGTTTTATTCTCCCACACCTCACTTCCCTCAGGCTTTATTCTCAAGCTGAGGTGTCTGCTGAGAAAAGCCGCTCCACCTCTCCCTGGTCTGCTGGGGGGGACTCTCCCCCCCAGCAGACCAGGGAGATGCAAAGCTAGGGGATCCGGTATAAGTCGCATCCATGTAACCCGGGGACTGCCTGTACTATCACAGTTTGATTCAGATGTAGGTCAGTGCCAAAATTTATCAGGGTTTTTTCTACAATTTTCTGGTCCAACTATATCTCTAGCTGTTTCTAGTTAATATATTTTTTTATTTATTACTATTGTTGTTATTATTATCATTATTATTATTATTATTTATTTATTCGTTATATAAGAGGCTCAGGGGATAGGAGACTGAGAGGACCATACCAAATTCATGGTTCATTTTGGTCAATTTCATGTTTTTTGGATTTTTTAATATAGTTCCATGGTTTCATATGTTTACATCTGAAATTCCATGATGTT